CGGTTTGGTTAACCTTAGAGACCAATGGCTAGAATAGGTTTGCATTTTAGGCTTCTTCGACTTAAACATGTTTAGATTCTTGAAAATCAATATTGAATGCAAAAGGAAGAATCCCCAAATCTTTGACAAAATGTTTCCAAGGTTTCTAAGTGTTGGACTGTCATTAGTCAACTAACCTTAACGACAAAAGCATAAAATGCCTAGGCTCTATGGTATAGTCAACTACCCAAACGGTATAGTCGACTAACTATAATAGACGAGGCATGCAATGCGTAACTGTTAGAAATACTTGACTACCCTAAAATGTATAATTGACTACCTGTGACAGTCGAGGCATAGAAATGCCCAGACTGAGTGCAGTGGTCGACTACCCAAAACAATATAGTTGACTAACTCTGACAAGCCGAGTTAAATCACATATCAGTCAATTGACCAAAGGAGAAAAAAGATTCCCCCCTTCGTCTGGTAAACGACTACTAGAATAGTGTAGTCAACTACTTCGATGAAATTTGACCTTTAAAGGCTTAAAATGGCTAATACTATCATGTTGGAGACATTTTGAATCATTACTATGTTTAGTAAGAGACCTCCAACAGCTAGAAAATAATCTAGATTGATTCAAAGAAACCAAGCAAAAAGAGAATGAAAACAACCTGAGCTTTTAGTGTATAACGTCTTTAGTTGTTTTTAGAGAGCCTTTATTTTCTTCGAAGAGATTTATGAACTTCAATAGATTTTAGAGGTGAGTAAAGTTGAGAAGCCATAGGTCTCATATAGTCTTACCCATCTATTGAGAGATCTCTTCTTTGAGTTAAGCATCTTGAGTTTATACTTTTGCAACTGAGTAGATTGAGTTGTAATATTTATCTATTGAAAGGCTCTATGCTCTGATGTATTGTGCTTTATCTATAATCTCTCTATGTGCAGGAGGTGTTCTAGTTTAAACACCATTAAGAGTTTGATAGAGACCTTGAAGTTTTACCAACTTATCAAGTTAGGTTTGGCAGGCATGAAGCTCTGTTGAGTTTGGGTAGCACTCCAAAGCCTATTCAAGGTTGTAGGAGCCTCGAAAAACCTACAGTTGTAAGATTTTGATAGCGCCCGGGAAGTCCAGCTAGTTTTGGTTAGTAGAAATCCTCAAAAGGTGTCTAAGGTAGAGGATGTAGACGGGTTTCTGCTGAACCTTTATAAAAATCTTGTGTGCCTATTTTTGTGATTATTTTGTTTTATCTTTTCTTTATTTTCACGTTTGTGTAGTTGCTCTAGTATTAGCATTCACCAACTCTTCAGCTAACTTCTTGTGTTTGAATATCTGAAGATCCTATAGTTATTTAACTTTGTTTACTTTCTTTTGAACTGCAAGATACAGATTTCTTGGTGCAATTACTGAGCTACTAACTCTACTAATCCTACTAACTGCACTAAATTTTAGTTTAGCTGTTTGCATGCTGTATTGTATACAAACCTTCACTAACTGCTAACTGTTAACATTTAACTGCTTTAGGTTTATATTTCTACAATATTTTACATTTATTGCTTTATTTATTATTCAACTGCATCATTTATTTTCAGCAATTAAATTAATCTTGAGAATCCTGTAGCAGTTCTTTTTTTTTATTTATCACCCACTGCTTGAGTCTCAACTTTTTATTTTCTAGTAGCTGGTCCTTTTCACAACTACCTTCTTGTGGCAATCCCCAGCTGCAAAACTTAGCACACACATCTCGTGCAACTGTTATTTATATGTCTCTTTGTTTACTTTCAGCTACCTTTACACATCAGCAGTTATTTAAACTTATTGTTGAATCTTTATTTTAACTGCTCTTCCACTAACTTCTTTAGCAGTTTCTATACCTATTGTTCTATTTACTTTCAGCTGCTATTTACTTTATAGCAGTTACTTGTATTTATTGTTCTATCTTATTTAACTACTAACAACTATAGCTATTGTGATTATCTTGTTTACTTGTTTGAAGTTATAGTTTATCTTTCAGCAGTAAGTTGATCATATGGATCAATCATTTGATTAACTGCTAAACATTTTGACTAAGCCTCTATTCCTATGCATCTTATCTTGAATCTTCAAGAAGGCTTAGTGGAAGGTTTTAAGCTCGAACTAATCAGTTTTTAAGCTATACCCAATTCAACCACACCCCCGGACAAGGCCATCAATCCCAACAAATAGATCCCCACCATAGCTTTTCACGACAAACACCCAATCAGCATTCTAAACCATCACCCAAGATCCAAACACCTTTCCCAGAAGACACCAAATATACAGAATGTGTAGGCATATTCTTTTCCAATTCCAAAAATGCTTTTTTTGCAAATTCCTCTCCTCCCAAAAATTGCAGGCCTAAAATCTTGCTCACTGGAACCTCTGTTTCAACTTTCAACAATCTTTTCAATATAAAACTCCCCCTCCAGACCCCTCATTTAATCAATAACCACCTCCTCATCTTCTTCTTCGTCTTTATCCTCTGGTTCTCCCTTACATCGACTTCAACCTCTTCTTTCACCTCTTCCCAGCCCAATCCAATTTCTTCTCCTTGAGAATCTGGGATCATTTTTAACTTGCCTTTCTTAACCTTCCCCCGCTCTTTAATGACAATTATTCTTCTCATCACCCCTCTAAATTTTATTTTTGGCCTTCGCTCCCTTCTTGTTTACCCTCTTAAACCTATTACATGGACAAAGACCATCCTTCAGACGATGAAGAACTTTAGAAACATGAACTAAGTGTCCAGCATTTTGCTCCTTTATATTTTTTCATGTTCTCCAGTAAGTTGCTGTCTTTAGAAGCCCCTCCAACCATTTTTGTGACCCTTATTCATCCCAAGTCAACCCCCAATTTGCTCATAATCACCTCTGTAATATTTCCTGAAGCATTCATCTCAGACTCTCCTACTAACAAATTAGGATTACACAGACTCTCCCCCTCCTCCCCTTTAGTCCTTTACCTCATCTTGAGATGTACCGACCTTTGCAGACTCTAAATCTGGAACAACATCAAACTCAAAACAACAGATATCCTTTTCTGCTTCAAACCACCTCTGGTTCAGATCTTGAACACATTCTTCTTGATTGTCCACCACCACTTACCTAGAATTAAGAGAGGTTGTTTTATTTGGATCAACCGCACCCTATAGAAATTTTGTTGCCCCACCTAGTAGATCTGCCCTTTCCATCCTCTTTAACAGGCCTTGCCCTGTTTCTTTGTCCGGTATCCTAAGATTTTCTTTAGAATGAAGATCTACATCATTTCAACAAAGCACCGCCTTGTTCAAAGTACAAACCATCTCTGACAGCTCTTGCCAGCCACAATCTCTGTTGGAACAACTCCCCTATTGGCTTTCATCAAAACATCCTCTTCTGCACAAATCTAGTAACAGTCCACTTCCAACAATCATCATTAAGCTTTCCTTTTCTAAAGTTAGCAAACTTCTTTTGTTTCTTAAAAACTAAGCCTTTCTTAGCCTTTATTGCCTTGACTTTGTGCCACATTCTTCGCCGCTTGAAGCGTTGAACGACCTTGAAGCACCACTCCTTTTCATTCCCCTTCAAGAACAAGACGATGATGGACCGAAACTACAATCCATCATCAACCCCATAAACCTAGGTGTGTGCTCATTAGATGAGTCACATGTCCCTTTCCCTTTGAGTCTTGGTATAAAAAACAAGCCTGGCCCATTTGAATTTCGACCCCCCTCATCCATGGGCTCCAAAAATCCAGACCCACTATTGTTTAAAGCCTCCACCTCCACACGGCCATTTAAAATGTCACGTGATAACTCTAGACCCAAACGTCCTCCCATTTCAGTCCACCCTTTCTTCTAAGGGTCCCTCCAATTTCCTTTCCTCCTCTCGAAAGTGTTTCATCTTCACAGCTTCAAAATTTTCAGTTTTCACCTGTCGATCTCTTACCGGTCAGCAGGCCACACGCTAACTCTTTCTTTTTCCCTAGGCAAGTGTAGGCATGAAGTAACCACAAGAAACTTATTAACTTTTCCTTTTCCCAGCCTTTGTTATAGCAAACTGGTGAACACCAATCTTGTTTGAAATACCCACTTTTCTTTCACCATGTAAGCAAGCTTCTTCTACCTTTTTGTCTTCCTTCTTCTACCAATCTTGCATGGTACCATAGATGTACTATTCTCCGCTTCAAGAAGGCTAGCACTTTAAGAGTAAGAATAACTTTTAGGGTTAGAGAAGCAAAGAGTAGGGCTTTCAAAGGACCGGATATTGGTCCAACCCAACCTGATCCAGTATGAGTCCATCACAGATGGACCAGGTCCAAACAAATCCAATAAATACTTTGGACCATTAAGTCTGGATTGGTCCAATTCAATGTCTTATTGGTCCTTTTTTTATCAGTAATGGCAAATTTTATTAAGATTATGAAACTTTAACTACAAGAGGGGGGGTAAGCTTTCTTAACTCCCCCACCAGCAAAAAACAAAGGAAACAAAAATCTTAATTCAGATAAGCAAAAGCCTTATTGGTCCATCCAATCGGTTCAAATTGATCTTGATTCGGATTTGTCCAATCCAAACCTAGTTCGTTGAGACCACTACTCTTATCTTCTGTCAGTGGACTGGACATTGATTCAATCCAACCTAGTCCAATATAAATCCATTACATATGGACCACATCCAATCCAATAAATACTTTGGAGACTGGTCCAATTCAATATGTTTTATTGGACCATCCAACCCATTCTAACTGATTTTAATTAGGACGAGGTCCAACCCAAACCCAGTCCATTGACACCCCTAGCAAAGAGTGCCTCTGGCTTGGGTTTTAAAGTAGGTTTCTGGCTATTACCTAAAGGGATTTTAGGGCTAACTATAGATCCCAAAAGGAGGCCATAAGACCAAAAGTTCACCTAAAAAAGAACAAAAATAAAACCAAATTCAAAACAACAATGCATTCAAGGAGGAAACCAGGCACAGAATAACATTCAGTTCATAGAAAGTCTTCATTATAAGAATGAAACTTACAGGAAGATCTGAAATAACTTGATTAATTGCGCTGCATGCTGCTGCAGTTGCACCAGTCTGTATAGCATTCATGGATACATCTACAAGGAAGAAGAAGACAGCTGGCATTGGATCACGGACCTGGAAGTAAGAAGACAACATGCAAAATCATCCTAATTAGTAAAACTCCAATAACAATACATACTTTAAAAAAAATAACATTATTAAACTTAAAAGTAGATCCAATAAAAGTCAAACAGATTATTTTCTACGAGAACAGAAAGGCTAATATATATGGATTGTAAGGTTATCCCAAGTTGAAGTCTGACCACACAACATGGGTTAATATTTTTAGACATTTGCATTAAAAGACAAAAGAAAAAGAGAATAGAATAGATTTCCTAAAACCAGGTTCAAGTAGTAGAATCTGAAGATAGGGAAACTAAAACAACTTAAAGACAAATTAAAAGGTGAGAAAAAATGGAATGTAGGGGAAGAAATTAATGGTATGTTTTTTCAGATGTAAAATTCTATCAAAAAAGTGGCTCAAAAAGGTCTATTAGGAAATCAAAAAGTAAAAGACAATTATTAAAAAAAAAAAAGAGAAAGCACTTGGTGGTGCAATGTAGGAGTGGTTTTAAGGGCTTTGAATATCATCAAGTTGTTGCTCTCACTCAATTACTGAAGGGAGTCTTTTTCAGATGCTACAGAATCTAACTCTAGTATCTGGACTCTCCTTCAGATCTTTCTCCTGTGCCTCCTGGAACATTTTGGCATCCCAACCTCCCCACCCCCCAATTCAGCCCTTTCCTATTAGATATATCTGGTTTGGACCAGTCCCACCCACCCAAAATTAAGCCAATCTGTTGGGGAGGAATTCAATTTGAAAATCAGCACTTTTGACGAATTGCCAAAAAGAAGGCTTAATTGATGTCTTTCACCTCATAAATGCTTTTTGTGTGATGCAAATCAGATAACCCACCTGCTAATCTCCTACCCCTTTACTTTCTTTTGGGACTGATTTCTAGCTCCCTTTGGTTGTAGGTGGTCCCCACCTGGTGATGTGAACAGCATTTCTTTTTTTGGCCTCCTTCAACCCATCCAAGAGAAGGGGAAAGGCCTACCTTCATCTTCTTTAGGGCTTCCTTAACCTTTAAAGCTACCATCAGTGTAAGCTTGTCTTACACTGCCAGTCTCAAACCCGGTTAAAGGAGGAGGGTTACATCAGGTTGGCAGCCAGCACAAAAACTTTTGCCAAACATGCATGGTCATGGATCTTGATTTGTCTTTGCACTGAACAAAACGGAATGGGAAACAGGATTCATGTAGCCAACCCCATATAGTTGGGACAAGTCTTATATCATGATGGTGAATTGATGGTATGTGTGTGTATGTGTGTGCTTCTAACTCCATAAAGCTCCTAAGATCTCTAAAATTTGTACTCACAACAAGTTTTTCATTTTGTAATCTCTGAAAATGGCTTCAGCTATTCTTTTTTTTCTCCTCATTCTTTATTGGATCTCTTTGATCTTCACTTTTCATGCATCTAACGTGATCTAGATCACTTTTCTTTTCCTTATCTTTGCCAGTTTGTATATATCTTTTTCACCTTCTAATGTATCTTAGTTCTTGTAGAATTCATTGCATACCTTCAGTTTATCTTCCCTTACTAATTGCTTAGTTCTTTTTTAGCATTTATTTATCCCTTCAAGTTTTCTCTGTTTCTATTTGCTTGCCATGTCTTGTAACAAGATCTCTTAGTCTTGATGGTTTCTTGAACTTGATTGTTAATGAGTGCTACCTACAATACATGTTATTCATTTTGTTAGCCTGGCATTTTACCACCTATCCCTCCTTTTACTTAACATTGCATCTTTACAAGTAGCTTTCATTTATTACTCCCAATACAATTTTTTCCATGACTGCCCATTGTTTTTAGCATGTGAGTCAACCACGAAGTTTGCTGATATATGTACCCACATAATTGAAGTAGCACTCTCCATTGTTATTTGCTTGGTTTCTCTCAGTGTATGTCTGTGCTGCCATGTTCTCTTGCAGCCAGCCAACTAACCCCTTTCCATCACTATATTCCTTATATTCAGTTGCCAGAGAGACCCCAAGACCAAATGGTCTTGAAATTAATGCTAACACAGCCTCATAGCTGTCCCTAAAAACACCTATATTTGAAATGCCTAGATTCCCAAAGTTGCGTGCAGCATGCCTGCATCCATCAAAGTTTAGCTTAGGGGCCTGTTTGGGAGGGGCGGAAAAATGAGCTGAAGATTCAGCTAAGCTGGTTCAGCTTCTTTGAAGCACTCCAAATAAGCTATTCAAAGAGGCTGAAGCCGACAACCCTTCAAATGACTGACTGACAGCCAATTTGGGCTCTCCAGCTGTCCATGTGGGGCCCGCCTCAGAAAGCCAGAAGCTGCTGTGGTTCAGCCCTCCCAAACAAGCACTTAATCTGCTTCAAAGCTGGCGGGATCCACATCCACTGTTCAGAAACAAAATAGGGCAAGGTGGAATCCCAGTAGTGGCCATCAATATCACATTTTCCTCATCGTTAGTAAAATGTTTCTGTGGATTGGGGGCGGGAGGAGGCTAGTCATTCACAAACCACTGACTCGGGGGTGAAAGAAATCTTCTTTCACTTCCCACTCCCTGAAATCCAAAGACAGCCTTATTGCTTGTACAAGAAAAAGAAAAAAGAGCATACTCCTTGAAATCAAGTTAGACTCACGAAGTACATATATTGAAAAACCATAGGTCTGGAGTCCAGAGGGCAATACTGATCAATGTAAAAACTTTCAAATCTTGAGTATTTACTGACCATGTATTCCTTTGTTGCAACAAATTCCACCGTTCCCCTACATAGCTCAGGCCGTTCATCAGCATCCCTACGCCTACCATCTGGCCCTAAATTGCAGTGATAGTCACGGGGAGTTTCATCAGTAAACCCTGCAAAACAAACATCATATGCTGTGTAAGTTGAAAACTTACAGAAATTAACAGGTGCAAAGTGCATCTTATAGAAATTTGTAAAATTGGTGATATTTGGTGAAATTTCTCAGAAATCTTTTGCTGAGTGGTGATACAAAATTTTCCAGAAATCATTTTTTCCTAATATCTCCAACATTTTGCCAATACATTGGTGATAATTCATATTCCATTGATAGGCTACATATTTAAGGTTTAAAATTTTAGATTATTAATAAAAACTTTCCAATACTTCATTAAAATCATTATAATTTTTCAAAAATCGTCTTCCTAAAAGAACCAATGGGAAATTGGCAAATGGATAATTGGCTTACTAGTTACTATTTTGATATGATCTACTTACCAAGTCACTATAATTCAAAAGAAAAAGAAAATTGCATACAACTACAAAAGAGGATTCTCAATCTAATCAAAACATATAATAAGAAAAAAGAAAAATGTCAAAATAGCAAGTAAATGACTTATCTTGTGAAGAAAAAACTAAAACGGAGACAAAAAAAACATACCCATTAAAATCTCTTAATTTTCTTCTATTTGATTTAAATAGTTCTTTGCTATGGTTTTTTAAGCCTTAGATCTGTAATTATACTTGTAATGAGTCCTTTGAGATTTATTAATTAATTCCATGTTCTAGAAATCTTCCTAATTATTTAGATTTTTCATATTTTCTTAGCAAAATTAGCAAAATATCTCAGAAATTCCCCCATCTCTACATGGTGTATATCCATTGATATCAAAATTATGAACCATGGCTAGAGATTTATTTGAAAACTTCCCTATAAAGAACAAAATGGCAGAGAAATTGACTGAGTTGAGTTGAGTTCTAGGCTGCATTTGTTTGCGATACAAATGAAAAACCAGGGTATTTATGCCCCCAGGTTCAGATTTGTGAGTGTTTGTTTGAAATTCAAAAATGCAACAATTTAGAGAGGAAAAATGTCTTTTCTGACATTTCCGTAGCGTGAGGAGAGTGCATTACTGTACCCATTTTTTGGGTACAAATTTGTATTTTTTGAATCTTGCATTGATCAAATGACAGAGATCACTGTACAGCATTTTGTATCGATTTAAAACAAACAAGAAGAGAACAAAAACGGGTTAGAACTGAGAACCCACTTTGCATCCTTGAACCGAAAAAAGGGTATTTATGCAGAGTACATATTTGTGTTTGTATTGCAAACAAACGCAGCCCTAGGGGTTCAGAGACACCCTAAGTAGGAAGCATGCTCAGCAGGAATGGCATGGGTGTCAAAGTTTTTCATAGAAAGAAATTTGAACTGGATAAGATGCATGCCACACTAAGTAATCCATGATAATCCCTAATATGAAATGATGGGATTTCCATCATAAGTAGTAACTAGCATACCTGCTACAAGCTAAAGAATTAGGGAACTAAATTTATTCGTTTATGAAATGATTTAAGGAATACTTACCTGACAATATTAAAGATTACATATAGATACCATCATATTGAAATATAAATAAATAATGATTTAGAAGTGCCCAGAAAATACTAAATGGACATAATCCGCACTAACACACTAAATCAAAAATCAAGTATACTGACCACATAAGTTACAAATGAAGCGCCTCCCTTGATCAATGAATTTCATGAAAGGATTAATGTACCCTTTGCAACGAGAACAACGAACAGGCCCACCTTCTCCAAAATCCACAACCTACAAAAAATATTAAACTAATATGAAATATTTAATTTTTTTTGAAAGGGAAAAATGATTATATTTAATTGCAAGTACAGAAATATACAAAATGTAATGATTAAATTTATAGAAAGAACAACAATCTTCACACCCAGAAAAATACCTCTGAATTAAATGAAATTCTCATAATACATAAAATACTACCCATTGCTAAGTTGATTAATTTGTCCTCTCCAATACACGTAAGCTGAAGCATAGTTGTCAAGACGTCACCTAGGTGCCCACCTAGGCAACTAGGCCACCCTTGGCTGAGCACCCCACCACGCCTTGACTTATAGCAACTAGGTGCCCACCTAGGCGACTAAGCGTCCACCTAGGCAACAAAAATGATGAGGCGGGTGCCTTATTGTAATATCATTTATGTTGATGCATCTTTATGTGTGTTAATACATTCTATTTTATAATATATATATATATATTTAATGTTTTACTATTGAAATTTAAAAGTACAAAGGGTTTCGAGATGAGAAAAAGAAACAAAAAATGAATACAAGTATAGAGAGGTTTCTTTTTTTTCCTATCCTCTCTCCCTCCAATCAATTAAATAAAATAGCAACTCCATCCTTGGTTTTTATCTATTTCACTTCCCATCTTGAATTTTTATCCTATAAAGTTAATAACCTTCTTTAGTTGCTAATTGATATGAAATTGCTCTATTAATACTTATTCTAGTAGCATTAATTTTCAAAATAATGAAATTAATATATTTAAAAGATTTTTTATCTTTTAGATATGATGATTTTCCACATTTTTAGAGGAAACTTAATGTTCGTAATAAAGAGACTTGCTCTTCTTTCAATTAGTATGCATGCCGAATAATATATAAAACTAAGGAACTAGCCAAAAGTTAGTTCTTCATATTATAAAACTTTTATCGCCTAGGCAACTAGTCAATTAGGCGCCTCAGTGCCGCCCAGAATCACCCAGACGCCTTGACAACAATGAGTTGAACAAAGGGCAAATAAAACACTCTAATCTTGGTAAGAAGGTGAGCAGTCCTAATTCCTAAATAGCCCAGACAAAAAACCATGTTAAATTGAAAATAGTTCTCTGTCTCAACTTTACAAGCAATAGATCAAAGAAAAGAGCATTTAGATATCCCAATTCCTGGATCTTTAGCCATCTTTACCCCAAAAACTGCAGGCAAGAATTCTGCTCTTATAGAATCACCTTGCTCACTTGAGCCTAAAGTACAAGGCAGGTATAATACCACCCTTATCTCTTATCACCCCTCCAATTCTTGAAGGACTTGGAATGCCCACACTACTACCATCAAAGTTCAATTTCAACCACCCACCCATTAGGGGAGACCGCACCTCTAGGGGTTTTTGTTTCCTAGAGGAAGATCCAGCTATTGCCCCCCCCCCCCCCAAGTCCTAAAGAAATCTTCCACCTTGAAGCCTGAGAATAGATTCAAGGTCTTCACCCAAAATTCTACTCTTAGTGTTAGGAGTTCAATCAATGTCCCCTTACTCCTCTCCTCCTCAAAAATTCTTTTGTTTCTTTCTTCCCATACTGTCCAAATCACCACAGCCCGTGTGCACCTCTCCTATTTATGCATCTCAACATAGAAGGGCTAAACAACCTTTCGAAGTTGGTAGGAGGGTTCCACCTAAAACCAAAAAAGGGAAAACAAACATTCCCAAATATAACAAACAAAAGGACAAGAGATTAAGAGATGAAAAGCAGTCTCACCATGGAAGAATCTATCAAAAAATAATGCTTCCATGGAAGACTTCCCAACAAAGAGCATTGACCTTAGGGGGAATTGGGAAATACCAGATTTCTTTTATAGGAAGGAGGGAGGAGAAGCAAAGGCAATAAGGGCCTTGAAGAAGGATTTACAAGCAAACACCCCAACAGAATTAAGAGCCCAAACTCAATTATCCAAAACTTCCTCATCCAGGACCTGGAATCCAAAAGGTGCATCAAACTAGACAAAGGTGATTTCCAACTCTCTGAGATTCCTAGTGAAAGCCAAGTTTCAATTCAACCCCGAAGGTGAGGGATGAGAAAGAAGAAATCAGACACAGGCTTTTACTTAAGTTTAAGGTTGAAAAGAACAAAGAGAGGGAAAAAACATCTTTCAAGGGAGACTCCCCTACCTAGACATCTCCCCAGAACCTTGCCTTCTAACCTAAAGCCAAGTCATACCTCACATAATTAAGGAAGAAAGGAAGGACATCATGTATAGCTTTCTAGGGTGCAGCAAGAGTAGCTCTGTGCAAACAACCAGCATCACATTCATTGCTTGATAGCCTGTGAATTCCAGTCACAACCTTATGTCACAACCTCTCGTTTTCCATAGGAAATTGCCACAACCACTTGCTCAAGAGAGCCAAGTTTTTCATACTAGCATTGCCAACTCCCAACCACCTTCTTCTTTATGCCACAACCTCTCATAGCCAACTTTTATTGTAAACTTGTACATATCTTCTGGGTTTATCCCTCTGAATAATAAATTCACTTACCAGAAATCAATGTAGTGATCAAAAATGGCTACAAAGCTGGCAGGGTTTTAGATAAAAACTAATTACTTAACAACCAAAATTGACACCCAAAACTGAAGAACAACCTCCCTTGACAAGAGAAATAATGTAGTATAAAGAGATTGTAAAAGTTAGATACTATTACCTGGATGGGCTCCTCAGATGGATGGGGGAGAGCCAAAGGCTGGACCATCAAAGCTAACTGCATGCTAGAGGTTGACAAAAGGTCACCAGTGCATGGGATCTATTGAAAGAAAAACAATAAATTAGTAACATCAGCAATTTACAATTCTTGTAATGAATATCGATTCAAGCACAAATATATCATATATATATAAAGATGCTAAAAGTTACCTAAGTATTCAAAAACTTGGAAAATACCTGATTAATGGTGCACCTCATGTAACGCGGGCTGCAATTGCCAGTATCCTTAACAATGTAATCGCTTGTAGCAGGCTTTACAAATACAGAAGTTGGCATGATCAGACTAAGGGGAAAGTTAAATAAATTCTCTATATCTAATGTTATATTCACACCATGATACATTACAAGATACATTGATTTTCTTTTAATTCAATGCATGAAATAGCATACCGGAGGAAGGTTAGCCTGATTTCCTTGTCGAGTTTCATACAGGATCACCGAGGAATTTGGGATGGGGCGTGGGATTTGATTGGGATCAATCTTTGATGTCCCTCCCAATGGAGCTCCAGCAACTGGGAGGTGACCCATGGCAGGTGGTACACCAGTCATAGGTTGGTTTGGTGGTGGAGGCATTCCATACATTCTAGGTGGTTGAGTTGCACCAGGTATTGGTGGAGCCACCTGAAAGCAATCAAACAATTCCTAATCCACAATACGATTAAGTAAATAAATAAATAGAAATAAAAATAATATTACAGTTGTAAACATTATAAATGAGGACTCCCACAGTACATATTATAAGAATGTAATATGATGATAAAGTGAAAAGTACTTAATTTCATTGCTTGTGGGGTGGACTTTGATCAGTAGACCACTAGGCCTTATAATTCTGATCTTAAAAAAATCATTAAAAAAGGAAAACTAGAAGATACAATATCTGATGATAAGAAATAACCAAGAGAAACAAGACAAAAAAACAGCACCCCAAAGTCTCACCTTAAAGAGTTATAAACCAAATAAGATATAAAAATTCATGCCATCACATACCACCCTCAACACACCTAACAAGTAACAACACCACAAACCAAAAACACTATTCACCTGTCTTACCATCAAATAACACCTCAATAACCTTCTCCACCCAAAATTAATTTTGGCTATTATCCTTTACCCTTATTCCAAAACCTCATTCAAATTCAATTCATCAACCTTTAAACCCTCAAATCAACCACCTAGGTTTTCTTAATCCCACGTCCATTCTTCCCCAGCCTCAAGGAGATATCTGTCTTGATTAGATGTTGAAAATTAGTTTCACATCAAGATTTTTAATTCTCTCATTCTCTTCTAATTCTATGAACACCTCTCTAGTAGCCCCTTACCCTCCTCTAAATAATATAGTGTAGCATGGACTCTATTAAATAGATCAAGTGTCCACGTCAGACATGTTAGATTCCAACAATCCATGGATTCTTGAAGGACACTTCTATGTTTGCTTATCGTTATTTGCATTGTTTATGCACCTTCATTTTTTTAAACAATTATCCATTATTTATATAACATATAAAAATGTAACTTGAAACTAAAGTACAGCAGCCAAGTCCCTAAATCCTACTTTTTCCATGCTTTCCAAGTCTGACATCTCATACACGCACAAATGTATTTCCATGAATGTATGTATGCATGTATACACACATGCATTTCCATGTATACATTATATCACAAGTATGTTGCATTTATAAAGAAAAAAAAAGAAAACATGCTTGCATATATATAAACTTGTGTAAATATGACATATTTCATACCTTTGGGAGAGATTAAACAGATGGTTTAAAATGAGATGTTTTGGAGCTTTTCAAACTTTTTTCTTTTGATAATAACAGAAAAAATTTTATTAAAAAAAAAAAGAACAAATCTTACAGCCTGGTGTAGAGATTACACCATTGCAAAAAACTTTCCAGATTACATTCTTGAATTTCAATGACCCTCCAAAAATTAGGCCTTAAATCTGACATGGACCACTTGAGCAAAATCCAGTAAGATGAGCACCCAATCAGTGACAGCCTTTCCAATGGATGCCACCACCTTCTCTAGCTCCCACTGACTGTCTTCAAATACTCTCCTATTTCTTTCTCTCCATATGGGCCAGCAAACAGCAAAATGAATACAACTCCAAACAATTCAGGCCTTTTTACTTCCATTGATGGACGGCCACTTGGAGAAATTTCAGCCGGAGACTCGGGAAGGAACAGCTGCATACCAAACAATGCTGAGTAATATCTCCAGCACAGATCAGCCACACTACACGTAAAGAACAAATGGAGCTTTTCAAACTTTGGTGCTCCTATGTTCATGCATTGGTTCTGGTTTCTGTTCTAGTTTCCATTTTATCTAGTTACTTAGGTCTAACCCCAACCTTATTGTAGGACCAAGTGACCAACAACAGCAATTATCATGATGATAAATGAAGGAACAGGTAAAACAAGTTTTGTTCATGTATTCTTGATTCCTAAAATAATATTTTCTATAAAGTTTTCTTTTACAAATAAACAATGTATAATTTTTCAAAGCCTATATAATGTATTTCTGACCGAAACAGGCCATTGAAGTGGGGAAATGTTCAGAATTGGTTCTAGGATGTTCCTTCTCCAAACATGTGTGCATGTGTGTGTTTCATATGTTCCACAGCAAGTCCTTACATATGGAGCTTTTCAAATTTTGGTGCTCCTATGTTCCCACATCAGTTCTGGTTCCCATTCTAGTTTCCATTTGATCCAGTTACTTGGGTCTAACCCCAACTTTTCTGTAGGACCAATGACAGCAATGATCATAATGATAAATGAAAGAATGGTTAAAACAAGCTCTATTCCTGTATCCTGACTCATAAATTATTATTTTCTATGAAGCATTCTTTTGCAAAGAAACAATGCATAAATTGTTCATGGTTCCTATCCCATGGAACTAGCTCCTTTTTTATATATCTTCCCCTCCCTCCCACTCCCCCAAAATACACATGGAGTTTTGATATTCGTAAACTTAAAGAAGTCTGAATTTAAGAAAGTACTTTGTGCATTACACATGCCTTTTATCAGTCAGCTTAACAGTGTCAGTTTAGAAGTAATCAACAATGACACATATATGGCATATGCCAAATTAACTATCAATCCTATACCAAACTCACCTGCCGGGGTTGCATCTGCCACGTCTGAGCCCCATATGGAGAAGCTGAAGGCGGTGGAATGCCTTGACTTGCAGCCGAAAAAGGTGGCACTGGTTGAGAGGATGATGCTGGTGGTGCAATGGCGGCAAGACTTCCAGCAAATGGACGCATGTTAGGAGGCTGTGAAGCCCTATTCTGCACAAGTGATGGTGGAGGCCCAACTGGTGGCTGCTGAGTACTGCCAATGGAAGGAAATCGGGGGCCACCTGGCAAAGCCCCTGATGTAAAGACAGGGGGGCCGTTACTAATTGGACCCAATACATTCGAAGGAGGTATAGTGGAAACTGGACCCTGTGCACTTGAAGGAGGGGCAACTGGACCCGTTGTCAGAGATGCAGAAGGGAAAGCATTAGATGGTGGCCTTGTACCAAAGGGCGGAGGTTGCGCAAACGGAGGGCCTGAAGGCCGGCCGGAAGGAACATTTGGTGTCACACTAGCTTGCGGAGGGGTAGTTGGAGGAGGCCCAGCTCTTGGGAATCCAGCTGGAGGTGGGCCAGGACGAGAAACCGGAGAAGCACCGGGAAAAGAAACCGGAGGAGCAGCTGATGGTGCAGTCGTAAAGGGGGCGGGACGGGTACCAGGTGGATTGGGCATTACAGGTGAGGCACCGGGAAATACACTGGCAGGATGAGCTGATGAGGCAGGAGCAGGATAAAGTGGCGACCCAAATGGGGCAGGGCGAGGACCAAGCGCATTAGGCATTGTAGGTGGGCGATTGATTTGTAGATTCTGCATGTTATCGGCTAAAGAATCGGGAGTTCTCTGCACACTGGGATTGAAATTAGGGGGGGGGTTGCCTGGTCTAGGTACCCCAGGGGGTACAGGAGATGCCATGGAGAATCACAACAGACTCAACTAGATCCTTTAATGCTTCAGCGAATCCTTATCTTTTCCCTGGAATTACCAAAAAAACAAAACCTAAATCTATAAGTTTTCAAAGAAAAATGAATTGAATATCTGCAAATTTCCCAAAAAATAACAATAGAATAACGGGAAATCCGAAATTCTGTCAAAAATTCATTTTTCTGCCAATTTATTCAAATCAAAGCTGATCCAAACAGAAGCAACAATGGAGTTAGAGAAAACCACACCTAGATTGGAAATTCTCCCAATGAATCAGTCTTACAGAAGCAATAACAGAGGTAGAGAAAACCAGACCCAGATCAGAGATCCTCCCAGATCGATTAGTCCTTGAACGCCCTTAGTTGTTGCTGTTTCAGTGTTTGATCGGCTGAGGTTTCCGAACGAGGAAGAGAGGTGTTCGACAAAAAAGAGCGTGCGAGAAAAAAAGGGTTTAAAAATAAGTCTGGATCTGCTGTAGACTTCCAGCTATGGCTAACGCTGTAAACCCAATTAGAATTTTCCATCTGTACAAACTCACGTGAGATTTCTCCCGCGTGTGATCTCTTAACTCGCCGAGTGATCGGGACTGAAAAAGCTAAGGGCAAATTTTTTGAGTTCGGCTTCGGCAAGGCAAACCCGTTCGAACAGTCCTTTCTCCGTGCTTATGTTGTAAAAGATTATTGGAACAGTGTGAGCACAGATTTATTCTAACGAAGCCAACCTCAAATATTTTAAAGTAGGATGCAAAAAGATCGGATTAGAAATGGGTATATATCCGAATCCGGTCCAATGTAGTATATATAATACATCATATCCGAATATATATGATGGATCTCACAAGCATCATTTGAATTCAAATCCGTTAAAGATATTGGATTTTTGAATATGATCTTATGGGAATTAATTTCTTGAAAATTTTAAAACATATAACAGTTTTTATAAAGAAAAACAAAAGATACAAGTATTTTTTCCAACTAGTTTCATCATATATACACATTTTTATAAAAAATAAATAATATAAAAATTATAAAAATGCAATATAAACTACATACATATACATATATATATATATATATATATATATATATATATATTGGATCGGATATGGGGTGATCTGACAAGGGGATATTTAAATCCAACAATATATGATCGGATTCCAAAACCTATCAGATTGGATCATAATCCGGTCCATTTTGCACCCCATATTTTAAAGTACCCTTAAGGTTGCACTCTGATTCACTTTTGTTTGTGTTTGGCAATATTACATTTTTGCACTGACAAATGAGAGTAATGCATATTTACATTGATAATAAGATGTAAAAGTACATCAATAAAAAAAAAAGTAAATTTGCATTCAAGCAAGGTCCAAAATATCGCAACGTATATAACCCGATATGTGGAATGTGTATAAATCATCTGTTCTGTTTCTTTTCATACGTATTGGCTAATACGGACCCAAAACAATACAATTTGGATCTGTAATTAAAGATCCCCCCTATCATTAATTTCGTTTTGTTAGTGTAAAAATTTTAAATTTTAACTATAGCAAGATTTGAACCTTGGTTACTTGATTTTAACAACCACAAGTTCACCAATGAGCTACATATATTTGTTTGCTATGATTATATGTATTTTTTATTTTAAGTAAATTTTCACTTTTCTTAATGAATGACAAGTTTTTATTAATAAATGCTAGAATTAATTATTAAATTTTATATACTAATAAATATTAAGATTAATTATATTGGTTTTTGAAAATTGACATTCACATTTTAATTTTTTTTTGTTTTTTTACATTTTAGTTATTCCATCATTTTTCAATGGTTACTAATTGTGTTCCGATATGTCACACTTTATATAAACCATTAAATTATGGTTTTTTACATTTAAATGACTTATTTACAATCATACAAAATATGTAAATATAGTTAGTAATATATTTTTTAAGATTTATTTGAATTTTTACCATATTTATACATATCTTAATTTTTGCCTGCCAAAGCTTATCCTGATATATTTCTTAAAATTGTCTTTCCGATACACCTTGCGTTTCCAATACCTTGAACCTTGCATTCAAGTGGGTTTTTGATAAAAAAAAAAAAACATATGCTTTATTGAAATTCGTATTTGCATCCATTACAATTAAAAATCTATTGGGTAAGAAAGTAAATTTATCAATACAAAACTAACCCAACTTTACAATTTATATGAACTATTTACACCATACATATTTGCATCGTTTCCAAACACGGCCTAAGTTTTTTAGGAAATGGACTTATTGTACCCTTATTGTTTAGAAATATGTTTTAAGTGCTCTCAAGTTTTTTGACATTTGACTAAATCCTCCTCTCCTGTTAGCATTTTATCACAATCCATTCGCATGTGACACCACGTGACATATAATTTTTTTAATTTCAATATTACCCTTTTGTAATCAATTTTGCCCTTCATCATTCTTCCAATTTTTTAAATAAAACTTAATAAACCCAAATTTTCAATAACCATTCAACAATAGTAATAGTAGCTACTAGCTACTTCTCTATCGATTGAAGCCCCCAGAGGTTGTTTATGAATCTTCCTCTCAAACTCTTAATTCTCTCTCTCTCTCTATGTATATGTATATATATCGTTGGGGCAAGGATAACACAACATATCAAGAAGATTAAGATTCTAAAGTTTGATAATAAGTTTGTGTTGGAAAAATGGGGTCACGAAAACTTTGAGGAGAAGTGCTATGAGGCATGTTAGAAGACACTGTCTTTAGAATGTTATTTGCCCTCACTCAGTTTTATTGAGTTTGTTGTTGGGTTATAGGCAAATCCGTTCCTATGATACAACAAAGCCTTAAGCAATAATATGCAACCAACAAAGTTGAAGAGTTTTTGAAGAAACCTTCTTTGAGGCAGTAGCAAATTGAATTGAGAGAGACAAAAGTGTTTTTCGAAAACATGTAAGGGTGAGCATTTGGTTTTTTTCGGTTCAAAATCGAACCGAAAAAATTGAAATTCTAAAAACCGATTTACCTATATGATAAACCAAACCAAAACTGAAATATTTGAAAACCGAATAAACCAAACCATTTTTTTTCGATTATTTCGATTAAAACCGAAATATTTTTGTTTTGTTATTTAACAAAAAACTTTTAATAAATGTATTGAGTGGGTCAGTTTTATGAGAAAATTTTGAAGTTTTGAACACGGATTCCATAAAAAAAAAGAAAAAAAAAATTGGCAACAATGCCAAAGCCCAAAAGAAAATTAAGTGGGGTGTGGGCCTTGCTGCATTCTTAGATGAATAGAAATAAAGAATAACCTAGGAATCAAGATTCACAAACTCTCAAATGGTGGATGGAGCATCACAAATGTGACATCTCCTGTAAAATCATTGTTACAAATCCTAAGAACCACCTTACGAGCAATACTGTGGGATGTAAGGAACAAACAATTTTTCACTGGCGAGAAAGCAAGCCCATCAACCCATGGAAGACCCTACAACGTTTAAACACCTACAAGGTCAAAAAGAAACGACAATAGTGAATCAAGAAAACACTCCCAACATCCCCATGAATACCAATCAAAGACACCAAATAAGGAACATCATGGGTTTCAAAGCAAAACTTTGCATAAATGGATCGTGGGGTCCCTCTACTGGCACAAGAGCAATGTATCATTATTTTAACCACTCAAGATGAATGCTTATTTGCAACAAGAGAACCTTGCATAGCAACTTCCCCAACTGATACAGAATGCTAGGCTGCCCTCAAAGGCCTAAAACAACTTCGAAGAATGAAGATTCAAACAGCGATGCTATTTATAGACTCATCACGAGTGGCCACTTTTTTGAAACACAGCAAAACAACAACAAGCTTAAGCCATTGAAGCATCACGAAAGAAGCTAGGACAACCATCTTATCATTTAGTAATTTATTTGTAAAACTACCAGTAGCAAAAGGAGCTCATATTTTAGCTAAAAGAGCTCAAACCTGCATAAAAAAACTAGTTATAGCATGCAGTCCCTTCATGAATCTTTTTAAACTCAAGTAAAACTAACCTAATTTTCAACCATTGTATCTATCTAACACTCTACAAACCTTGATTTACAATCTGAAATCCAACAAACTTCAAATTCGATTTAAGACACAAGGTTCAATACATTAAAATAAATACCTCAACAACTTCAAATTCGATTTAACACTCTACAAACCTTTCCAACTCCTTGATAATAGCTTTGCTTGAGGCTGAACAAGACAACCTTAAATGGTTAAAAGTAACAATAATGGCATCTCTGATTTCTACAACTGGTAAAATACAACAAAGAGACAAAATGAATCTGATTTACAGTTTAGATGATTTATATGATTCATTTATAAATAAGAAATGAATTCAATGGTTTCATATGTAAATGAATCAACACAAGAAGAGGGCATGCCCATCTAAAGTTTTAAACATATCTAACTGATGGGCAACTCTATCAACATGTTAACAAACTAAGGAATTAACAGAAATTTATATAATAAAAAATGTTTTCTAGAAGAAATATTATCCAAAAGAAAGGTATTGAGTAATAGTCCAAATCTTCTTTGGAGCACCCAAGAGGCCAAGACTTTGTTTAACATAACCAAAAATTTCTTCTACTTCTCTTGTTTAGCTACTTTCAGAGCTTCAAAAACAACCAAAAGTTCAAAACTTCCACCACTACAGCATTTCCACAAAGACTTTGCCTCCCACCTATTATATCTATTTGAAAGAAAGGCCCCTTGTTAGAAAATTAAGGTGAGTAAATACAAAATAATCCATTATACAATATAAGTATGGAATTTAAAAACTTACCCAAGAATAAGCATAGGAATGAATTTAATGATGAAATATCAATCATTATTGGTTGTTTCGATGCACTCTTTGATAAATCTAGTAGGGAAGAAAAACATGTATCATTTAATCATTTATAAAGGCTAAAAAATTATCATTAGAAATGACATATGAAACTTAAACAAAAAGAGTATTGTCATTTTCAAATTTGTTAATCTCTTCTAAATCTTCTTCAATATTAATTGCGTGTTGCGATGACTAAGTCCAATCTCGAGTACATATAAGTGTTTCTGCTATCTTACGTGTCAAATAGCTCCTAAATGCATCAAGCACTCGTCCTCTAATGCTAAAAGCAGACTTAGAAGCAATTGTAAAAATGGGAACTGCTAATGCATCACAAGCCATCTGCGAAAGTATAGGGAATTTGGGACTATTAACTTTCCACCATTCTAGAACATCAAAGTCGTCATTACCTTGTCTCTCTTTAGTATCTTCATTTAGATATCTATCCAACTTTGATTTAGCATCTCCCCCTCCACTTACTGACTTGTACTTCTTAAATCGAGATATCATCAACATCTTCTTTGCTTGTGATTTTGGAGTTGCTCATTCTCTATGTCACTTGGAATTGAATATTTC